AAGATTCCAGAAGCTCCGTTAGTCTGACACTGGGCTTTCAGGCCTCCTCAGAAGGCAGTCACCAGCAACAAGATCCACAGCATAGCATCCATACAAATAGGTTCGTGCCTTCTAGCATTTTCCCTGGGCTGTTTGCTCAACACTACCCTTGACAAGTCAGAAAAGGTACTTCTACCCCATTATCCCCAGAAACCAAGGTCTAGACACCCTAAGGTCATCCAGGGTGGCAGATAAAATAAACAACAGACCTTACACCAGAACCCGGGCTGTGCCTGTGAGAACAGTGCTGTAAGTACCAGCCTAGTACAAGGTTCGAGTCCTGGTGTGGCACTGTAGGATAAGTGCTGGACTGCAAGGTCGAGGGTCCAAACTCGCCACAGCCACTCCTTGGAAACCCTATAAAGGGTCGTTATGAGTCGGAACCGACTCAACAGCACTTAACAACAGTACAAGGTTCATGAAAAAATACATTTAAAAACGTATATTATTTATGAAACAATATTTATAATGTTTTATAAAAATATAAATGCTTATACTTAGACACATTTAAATGAACAATGTTCAACATATCCAATATATCACTTCCACAGAAAAATTCAAATACTGTCAATGTTTAAAAAAAAAGCTCCTCCCCCCGAAAAAAAGGAGAGGGGAGAGATCTCAAAGTAAATGTACAAGACAAACCAGTGTTGGCAGGGGCACCAGAAATGAGTAAAACAAAGGAAATACTTGTACATAAGCACATGCCATCCTAAGCCTGACCCGGGCGAACTCTCTAGGGTCTTAACCATAATACACTGCAAGCCACAGACTGGTGGGCAAGGGCCCCAAAAACCCTGAGAGGGGAAATCCTAAATGAGAAGGTGCCTCCTAGCCAGAGCCCCTACCCTACCAGGGTGCCCGCTTCCAACCGCTGTACAAACAGGAAAGCCTGCATGCTTCCCCTTAGCTCCTGAACATACAAGCTTCAAAAAAGGGAAATCTCTTCCACATAACTATACCCCCAACACCTGATTTACCACAAAGTGTCCAGAACAAAAGGACCATGTCTAGTTTTCACTGAAAACCAGGAGAGACAAGAACACATCCCTGGATTAGGACAAGAGTTTAGAGGGGACATCTCTAGTCTCCTATAAGACACAGGTGTGAACAGGTACAAAACTCACCTGCCAGACTGAGCCTACCACCTGAACCCTGGAAGAGCGGGCACTCCAACTCAGCTGGCGGGGGGTGAGGGGTATCTGAACTGGAGCTCCCCAAATTGTAAACTGAAGGGGCAAATCCTCGAGTCAGTTCCGACTCACAGCGACCCAAGGTACAACAGAACAAAACACTGTCCGGTCCTGCACTGTCTTCAGTCTTTACTGCTGCCGCCACGGTGTCAGTCCATCTCACTGGGGGGCTTCCTCAGTTCACTGACCCTCCACCACGTTACCTAGCGCAATGTCCTGCTCCAGGGGATTGGTCCTTCCTGACAACATTTCCAGCATACGAGAAAGCCACACCAGGAATTCGCCCCTTGCTGAAGGAAGAGAGTGGGCGAGCCTTCTTGCTTGGTAAGGCTGAATGAAGAACAGTCCAGACAACCTGCCTGCCTGCATCAGCGTCCACTGAGGACAGAGGCTCCTCCTGGACCCCCAGTCTGCGACCCTTCAGCCCCAGCCCATGTTTCTAGTCTTCACACACCCACCTGAACATGTTCTAACCCGGAAGCCCACGGCGGTGTTGGCTTCTAACTCAATCATCGGATGCACACAGAGAGGAGTTCATCTGCATAGGACGGAACTACATCAACATCGAGAGAGACGCACACTTGACACCAAGAGCTGACAAAATCCCCTGCAGAATGCCAAAGCCAAAAGCAGCAAAAGACAACGGCATTTGCTTTGCACAGATTCTGGAAGGGACATAGTGAGAGGGCTTTCTCAGAGCCGTGGAGTCTCTAGCACATCCCTTACTGCAGCACTTGGCCAATGCCACACGTAAAATCTCAACATGGCACATCCCCACACAGACCTGGCAGGGAACCCACCCAGGAGGGGAGACCTAGGCACACACGCACAGAATACAGCAGAGCACAGCTCAGAAGACAGCGGCACTGGGAAAGGTGCAAAAACACACCTAGCAGTAAAGACAGGAGCCCTGGTGGCACCGCAGGTTAAGCACTGGCTACAGATGAGGGGCCTGCTCAAGGAACGATTCCTGGCCGTTGAAACCCTCTGGAGCCATTCTGCTCTCTGTCCACGGACCACCATGAAGCAGAGCAAGCTCTATGGCAGAGGTCTGGGTTTGGAGGGGTGGAGTTTAGGAGGGAGCTCAGATCAAGGAGCCCCAATGGCTCAGTGGTTAACAGCTAACAGCACTCGTCTGCCAACCTGAAAGGTCAGCAGTACGAACCCACCAGCCGCTCCTGAGGAGAAAGCTGAGGGCTCTGCTTCTGTGATGATGGCAGGCTCTGTACTCTAGGGGACAGTTCTCCTCGGACCTAGAAGGCTGCTGAGTCGGACCAAGGTCAATGACAATGGGTGGAGCTAAAGAGAAAAGCCAACAGTGACCATCCGAGAAACCAGACTGCAGTGGGTATGCCCATCAAAGGTTCCATGCCTTAGGGGTCCCTGGGTGGCTCAAAGGGTTAACACACTAAGCTGCTAACTGAAAGATCAGAGGTTGGAGTCTACCCAGAAGTACCGAGAAGTAAGACCTGGCAATTCACTTCTGAACGTGTCCTAGGGGACCCAGTTCTGAGGCATGCCGGGAGCCGTGTGGGACAGTCCACCATAGCAGTGGCTTGATTGGTTAGTTTTCTTTCCCTCATGCTGACTGAGTGCCCTCTCATTAGCCTTAACGCCTTCCTCTAACTTTACAAACACTTTTCTATCAGTTCCATTTCTTTAGCCGTAAGAGGTCATGTACATAGCAGTTTTTCCCCTTCATGATGAGACAAAAACCCAACGTGGCTCATGGGGAAGCAAAAACCGTCAAACTGAACATTGTAAAATAAAGGGAGAGCTCTACATGGTGGCTGTTACGTGCCAACCTGGCCAGGCCAAGATGCTGGGTATGATGCAATGGTCTTCCATTTTGTGGTCTGAGGGACTGGCAGTTTCCTTGGGGCTGTGGCCTGCTTCCAGACCACATGCATAGTCTGGCTCAGTCCACTCACGCTCTACCCTGCCTGGGATTCCTCATCCTCTGACCTCAGGTTCTTAGGACTCAAGCACACAACTACTACCTGCCCTGCCCATTGTGGGTTCCTTAGCTAGCAAGCAGGGGAGGAGAAGCCCCCAGCCTGACTCCTGACTCTCAGGTTCAGGATTTTCCTCTAAAGAGAGAGAGACAGAAACATACCTATTCACTGCTTTTACTCCTCTAGAGAACCTAGCCTAAGACACCTATAAAACCAATTTAAAAACAAAGCTACACATTAATCCCTGAAACTTACAAAACGTGTTTGTCCCTGTGACTAATTGGCTTCTAGTTGTGGCCCTGGCTCGCCACTCCAAGGTTGAAATCCTGTCACACAGGATAAGGCCTATTCAGCAAGCTCTCAAAACTGGGTTCTTTTCTGAAAGGGTTACCTCTCTTCTTTAGTCTTCTAGAACCAGAAATGCTTCCACCAGAATAAAGGCTATGTTTTGTTAGAATGCAAACTTCAAATTAAGATTTTTCTCAGTACTAATCCTTAAAGTCTTACCCAAACAAAGCACCTAAATCCATAAAGAAAGCCTGAGGGGTCAAGCAATTACCAGAATGTCTTGGCCTGCAAAATTCTGAGACCATAAAATCAGTCTTAATCCACTAAGCACATTGTTGTTGTTGTTGTTGTTGTTGTTATGTGCCGTGGAGTTGGTTCCGACTCATAGTGATCCTGCACAGGGTTTCCAAGGTTGTAATCTTTACCAGAGCAGAAAGCCTCATCTTTCTCCCCGGGAACAGCTGGTAGTTTCGAACTGCTTACCTTAAGGTTCGCAGCCCGATTCGTAATTGCTACCAGAGTTCCTTACTAAGCACAATTGTTGTTGTTGTTATGAGCCGAGGGCCTCACAAATTGGACTAGATAACAAGGTTACCTAGTTCTTCCAAACAAGAATTAATCGAAAGTGATCATTAGATTATTACTGAAGAAAATCATTTATGTCAGGGCGTCCACAAAGACCATTTGAAGCATCGGCATTCCTAACAAACACACGGAGGGCTCAGCATCCAGAGCCCGGGTTGTTTAACAGCAAGGCCACCCCGCACTAGGAAAAGACGTTTGCAAGCAGCAGCCCCGCAATCTACCACGGAAGAAAAGACACCCCCCCCTTCTCACTAGGCAGCTCCAGGCCATCAAAGCCTGCCTCCCACGGGCGCGCACACAGGCGGCTTGGGGGCTCAGTCGGACGGCCACCCCCAGCTGACCGCCCCGCAGCGCTGGCTCGAAGTCGCACCCCGGCCGCTGGGGCTCGCGAGGGCCTTGGGTGGCCCAGGGAACCCGGCTGCAGCCGTGGTTCATGCTTGGCGCCGGGACACAAAGGCCGGCACGCCCGGATCCCGGCCGCTGGACCTGGACCCCCGCCCCAATCGCCGGACCCTCATCCTGGTCTCCACCCTGATGCCAACCCAACTGCTGAACCCTCAATGCCGGTACTCACCCCGATGCAGCCTCGGCCGCTGGCCCCCTGCCCCAACCAATGGGCTCTCACCATGGTCCCCACCCTGATCCCAGCCCTGACCCGGGCCTATGGACCCTCAATCCGGTCCTCATCCTAGCCAATGGACCTCCACCCTGGTCCTCACCCCAACTCATGCTCGGCCACTGGACCACCCACCCCTGCGCTGGACACTCACCATGGTCCCCGCCACGGTCTCTGGACCCTCCTCTGGTCCCCACCCACCCCAGGCTCAGCCGCTGGACCCTCACCCGGTCCTCACCCCGCCCCCGCCCGGGTCGCTGGACCCCCACTCTGGCCCCCGCCCCGGCCCAGCTCGGTCACTGGACACTCCGCTTCCCGGCCCACCTAAGCCGTAGGCCTTGGCGCAGATCCACTGCAGGTTGGCGGCGATCTTGGCGCGGGCCGAGTCGTAGCGGTCCAGGGGCACGATGTCCACGGCGCCGTCCGGCGGGGCCTCCATCTTCCTCCAGGCGCCCTCCCCGGCCGGGCCGCCGCCGCCGGCGTCCACCATCTGCGGACAAAAAGGCCGCTGCAGACGGGCGGGCGGGCGCCACAAAGGCCGGCCTGGC